TCTTATCTTCATAGTCCTTCTGGTTCAGAATAACTGTGCACCTTCCTTTGTCTGCTGGAAGAATGATGATGTTCTTGTATTGCTGAGGGTAGTGAGAGCGTCTCTCTCTTCTCGGAACGGATGTTTCCTCCTTGCTTTTATTTTGAACTAAACCTTTAACTTGAAGCTAAACTGAGGCAACATGCACAACAGATCTGCACTGCTACTTCCTGTTCTCCTTTTTTAATTTAATTGGTGTGTTTTATGTGTATTTGTTTATTCGTTTATTGGTATATTTCGGCTTTTATTTCTAATTATGTCAGATTTGATCCTCCATAATTTTCAAGCGATGTTTTGTTAAAAAGTTAATGACTATTCGTCACAAATAAACTTAAGTCTTTTTGTTTTTAAAGCTTAAAAAACAACATACAGGTGTGAAAGAACATTAAAGCTGAATCTACACTGTTTATGTATTTGTGTGTGTGCTGAGCAGTGAAACAGTGTATATGTTGAAAGTGCTGAGGCTGCAAATATTAGTCTGCAGATCAGTGTTTAGTCAGGTTAAAGTTGACTAAATCCCAGAGGAGAGGCGCACACACAACCTCAGCACTATTATATCAAATTGTGCTGTGCACGCACACACACACACACACACACACACACACTAGAGTAAAAGAACAAATATAACTATCTTCTGATCATTTTTTCTTGCTAATATCGAGCTCCAGGAGGATAAAAGATTTGTTGTCATGTTTTCTAACAGGATTTAGGGATGTTGACGTGTCGTCATCAGCTACACTGAGGGTGACCTCGCTAACTGTTGCTCCCGTTTCATTATTTCAACAAATTCCGAGAAACCCTGCTGATGTCAAATTCATGGATGAATCACCCTAAGTTCTTCCAGTGACGACTTAAATAGACTTAGATTATTATTTTATCTCCCTTTGTTCCAAAATGTATTATCAGATAGTCAAGGTGTGTTTTTTCCTCTATGGTTAAAAGGATTTAGAGCGTGTTGACTTGTTTCTGTTGACACATTTTGTCCGTTGTTGGTTTGTTTACAAATGTCCACATGGTTTTTAAATGGTTATCGTAAGCCCACCCACACAGACCAATATTTGCGTTTTGACTCCCACCACCCACTGGAACACAAGTTAGGAGTGATCAGGACTCTGTACCACAG